ATAATTTTACATATAGAAAATTCAAATATCTTTAAAAACATATTTCCTTTAGTTTATTTAATCAAAAACTACATTTTCTGATATTATTGTATGTTAGATAACCACCAGTTATCACATATGGCTCACAAACATGGACTTTCACAAAGGAGAACATTGACAGGATATCCAAAACACAAAGAGCAATGGAAAGACAGATGCTGGGTATCGGTCTTAAAGACAGGAAAAGAAACTAATGGATCAGAGAAAAAACAAAGGTGAACGATGTATCAAGACAGGTTGCAAAACTTAAATGGAACTTCGCCGTCACACTCTCCGGCAAAAAGATGAAAGATGGAATAAGCGAATTCTACACTGGAGACCATGGGAAAGGAAAAGAAAAAGAGGAAGATCACAGATGAGATGGACTGACGATCTTAAGAGAACATCAGGAAAGGACTGGATGCAGATCGCCCAATAGAGACCAATGGAGATTAAACAGGGGAGGCCTATGCCCAAGAGTGGGCGTTTATGGCTGATTAGATAGATAAAGATAACCATCATCTTCCATGTTTTCCAGTTTTGACACTCCATTTCAATAATGGAGTATTTCACCTTTAATTAATCTGTTTCAGTTAGTGTTATTTTATTAATTTTTTTTTTTATTAATTAATTTTTTTTTATTAATTATATCATAACAAAATGACTATCTTTATGGCAAAAATAACTAAAAATGAGTAAATGAAGCTATTTTATACTACTAACCTGTGCCATTATGATTAGTAAAATCACCCCTTGACACATAAAATCTGGTATTATTCTATGAAAAGTGCTTTCTTGAAATCCATATCCCTTTTCATGGGTACATAAACACCTAAAATTCTCAGCTGTTTTTGGAACAATATCAGCCCTCAACATCATTGTTATCCTTCCTATTTCACTCTTTCCAATTTTAATATCAAAGTATACTTGAGGATTTTTAACTTTTTTTGATTCATTTGATGTAGCTTCGCCTGTTTCTTCTTCTTGTTCCATTTTTTCTCCAGTTCCTAATTTTTTTCCTATGGTTTCACCTGAAATATAAAAAAATATTATATTTCCAACTATTTGCAAACAACCTATAAATACTGGAAATGAACCATCCATGATAAAATAAAATATTTTCAAAAATGTGAATTATCTACAAAAAACTACAACAGTACCTGCATGTTGTTGTAGCCATGTATCTTCAGACCACACAGGTCTAGTAGAGCCCTCTTTTATCCTTTGTGGTTTAGCTAAATTTACTCTTATCGTTCTTCCAAACAGTTCAGAATCATTCATATTATCGATAGCAGCTCCTGCATCTTCAGCACTTTCAAATTCAATAAAAGCAAAACCTCTGTGCTTTTCAGATTCATAATCTAACGGTATTTGTACATCTATAATATCGCCGAAAGGAATAAATGCTGCATTAAGTACTTGTTCATCGACTTCTTCAGCTAGACCGCCAACATATACTGTCCTTTTATTACTAGAACTCATCTTACATATTATTGTTTATTAGAAGTACTATTTATTTACCTTAAAAATAAGTGAGGTTAGGTAAGGTTATTTGACAACGACAATTTAAACCCTTTCTTCTATTTTTTATTTTAGTCACTAGTCAAATTTAGTGTACCCCAGTTTTTTTATAGTGGACAAAAGATAAAACTGTAGTTTTTAAGATTTCGGACAAAAACAAATTTTTAATTTAAGAAAAAGTAATGCCTCTACAAATTCCTTGTTAATTTTAAAACATTTAATAACTTTTTTTATGAAAATAACAATAAAATTTACTATTGACTTCTTTGTACGCCTCTGGTGTCTCGAGTATACTCGTGAAGCTGTCATATCAAATAACAGATGCTGTAGTTTTTTAGCAACTGTCAAGAAGAACCTGTGGAAAGGTCAATAATGTCGTTGTCACTAAAAATAAGAGTACCTAATTAAATTCTTTAAGTTTTTTTTATGAATACTGAACTTGAATTACTTGACCTTAATAATTAACTGCAAAATCTGTGATAATTCAATACACAACTGAAACAAACTGTGCTTATAGATACACTTAATCAGAATTGCTGTTGACATGTCTTTATGTAGTTAGTTGTAGTCATTACCTTACATATTTTTTATGTTTATTGAGATTTATTGTAGTGAAAATAAGTGGAGGTGAAATCCAATGAAAACAAACAGTTTTGTCTTACCTATTTGTTAAGGTGTAACAACTAAAACCTTATTACTGTATATAAAGTATGTAAATATACTAAAAAATGGCATTTTTATGCCCAGTAAGAATCAGACGTGGTAAAAAGAAAAAAGGTAAGTAATCCTAGATTATTTCTACTTAATTGTTGCTTAATCTCAAATATTTTAATATTAAAAGCGTCAATTGTATATAAGAAAGAACAAAACATTTTAAAATTAGGTCTGTTAGTTTATTGTGTGTTGTTAACTTTTGTCATTTAATTTTAGCCACGAATATAGATTTAGAAAAAGAACTGACTAGATCTAACAATGGCGCTACACCAGGAATGGGAAGAATTACTGGCTCTGCAAGTATTGAAACACTGGTCAGAGTTGGGATCGAAAAGGAACATGGGTTATCACCTGATAGCAAAATGGTTGTGTTGCATGATTTTACTCCTTGTGTTGATGATGAGCTAGAAGTTAAAAGGGGCCAGGTAAGAATCTTTATTATTAAGAATATAATTTAGTTGAAAGTCGTTAGAGTAATTACTTATTTTAGATTAGTATGTCAAAAGTTTACTTTCTTTGTTTACACAAATTCTTCACCTTGTTTTTCTTGATAGTACAGACCTTAGAAGGTGTTTAATAGAGATTTCTATGCAGCATTATCTTGTTGATCACAGTTCTATATACACACAAACAAACTTATATGGAATCACCCAGTATTTCCGATTTTGTAAAGTATTACTAATTTTTTTTTATGGAAAATGATCTACTTTTATTCTAAATAAGTTTAATTACTATCAAAAAAAAAAACAATCAAAAAATGTTACAAATGCTTGAAATTAACAAAACGCAAAAAACACGAACAAATGAAAACATTGCAATGGTTGACTAAAGAAAGATACAGTCTTGTTGTTCATTTTAATAGTCAGTGTTGCAACCTCTAGCTCTAATACAAGCTTCAATCCAAGGGGAATGGTTCTAATCAAATTGTCAACTTGTTCTTGAGGTAAGTTTGCCCATTCTTCTAGAGCGGCTTGAATGAGCTGATCCGCATTACCTGGATTATCCCTTCAAGCTCTAATCCTTCTTTTAATGAGGTTCCACACATGCTCAATGGGATTAATATCAGGTGAGCAGGCAGGCCAGCTCAGAACTGTGACATCTTCAGTTTCCAGAAAGTCTGTGGCAACTCTGCTGGTATGTGGAGGGGCATTATCGTGCATGAAAATGAAAATATTTCCCACTGCACCTCCACCACAGCCAAATCTACATACTGGCGACCCGTTAAACTTTGCCATAAGGGACGCAAAGTGTTTTTCCCTGTCATAATACCTCCCCAAAACATTACAGTTCCTCCTTTATATTTTGGAACTGATCTGGCAGTTTGCAGTCTAGTTTGTCTGCCTCAACCTATTAAAACCCAAATTCGATGATCATCTGATCTCAGGCCAATTCTGGTTTCATCCGAAAAAAGGAAATTTTGCCAATCTTTATTTGTCCAGTTCTGGTGCTCCAGACACCAATTCAGCCGATCAATTTTGTTCTGTCTAGATAACTCGGGAACCCTCAACTCATCAATTGGCGCTACAGCCCTTGGTGAGCCTTGGCCTGCTTCAAAACATTCTTCCATCCTTCCCTAACGAGTGTCTGTCTTCTCCAGCCCCTCACTCCAACCTCCCTCAGATCTTCCTGTACATCGTCCAGATATCTGAGTTTAGGTCGCCCCCTTCTTCTTCTTTCCACCGGCCTGTTTACCATAGTTATTTTAGTGGGATTACTCTCATCCATCTGCATAACGTGGCCACCCACCTTAGGCGGTTTATTTTGATGGTCTTCACAATATCTGCATCATTAAAAAGTCTATAGAGTTCAAAGTTATATCGCCTTCTCCACAGGCCCTGTTCGTTTACTCCGCTGTATATGGTCCTCAATACTTTTCTTTCAAAGACTCGTAGTAACTCTTCATCTCGGGTCGTCATTGCCCATGTTTCCGATCCGTATGTGAGCACTGGGCGTATTATTGTTTTATAAAGTTTGCACTTTGTTGCTGTTGACATACTTCTCGCTCTTAGTTGAGGGCCCAGGTCAAAATAACAGCGGTTAGCCACGTATATTCTTTTTTTTTTATCGCGTTGGATGTGTTATTTTTGTAGTCTACCAGTGATCCTAAGTAGCAGAATTCTTCTACCATTTCTATCGTTTTGTGTTGCACCTCTAAGTTATTTTGTTGAATTCTTGATATGGCCGGCATATATTTAGTTTTCTGGATGTTAATCAGAAGTCTGATGTTTTCTGCGGCATTTTTGATACGTGTGAAAGCCTCCACTGCTTCATTTTGGGTTCTTCCAATTATGACGATATCATCAGCGTATGCCATTATTTGTATACTACAGGTATACTCAACTGCTTCCTGCTAAATAAGTTTTGGGAAGAAGTCTCTTTTGTACTGTTTCAACTGAAATGTCAATACCTGTAGTCTGCAAAAGTTGCCTTTGGAGCTCCGGATGAGAAGAGGTTGGATTTCTTCTAGCTATTTGACCTAAAAACCGGTCTTGTCGATCACTAGTTACTCTACGATGAATTTCTGTAGGCCTGTTCTTTAGTGTACCCAATTCTAAAAATCTTGCATATGTTTTTGAAACAAGTTCTGGAGACGTAGCGTAGCTGAAATTTACCTTTGTGACATTCCCTGCTACAACAATTCTTCCCTCTGAACATCTGACAAACCTACGTAGGGCATATTACCTTTTTTGAACACAAACTTAGCTTTACTCTGACGTCTCGGTTTTACAACTTGACACAAATAATAAAATTTTTCAATGTGTACTTGATCAAATTTTATCAATTATGAACCGTATTTCCAACAAAAACCTTTATTCTTTATCTGCAAAAAAAAGTTGTCATACATTTCTTATTATTAGTAAGAAATGCTGGGTGATTCCATATGTTTAGTTGTGTGTAATATGTGGATTCATACTTACATGTTTACACAAGAAAAGTTGTATTACCTTTTTAAATCTTTTGTAGATAGTGAATATTTTATATAGAGAAAATGATTGGGTGTATGTTATTGGTTTGGACACAAGACAAGAAGGATTTATTCCATATTCATACTGTACACCCTACAACAATCATTTAGCTGAACTTGCCATTAAAAAGAAACTACCTAGGGACGAACATGTGGCTTCAGGAGACAGCTTAGATACTAACCAAGACTGGTAAGTTTTAAAAGAGAGAAGATTTAGTAGTTGTGTTTTATCACTTTTGCTTTTTTAGTGATGGAGCTGGTGCTGAGGCTAGTGACTGCGATTCTGTGGGGAAGAAGCATAGGCCAGGGGCTGTTTCTCCTATCAGCATTCACTCTGAACCAGATATGATACCATTTTCTAAAGATCCGTCTGGTAGATATATTGTTTTATATACATTCATTGCTAGGGATGAAAATGATGTATCTGTGGAAAGAGGTGAATTTGTAACAGGTAAATGAGATTTTTAAATTAATCTGTTATTAGTGTTTTCTTTTTTATCATTTATTATTACTAATGATTTTTCCATAAGCATGTGTGTATATTTATATACAGTATTATTTATATAGAACTAACTTGCTTATTGGTCATAGTGAATGATCAGATAGCAATAATCATAAGATTCCTGTTGGAGTTTTATTAATAAAAAAAAGTGTGTGTATGAAAGTGCATGGTTTTGGATCTTAGATTCTAGTTCAATTAGTTTTTACTGCACTGTGAATATTGCCGACATTATGTTTATTAGATGATAATTTGATTCCTTAAAAAGACCTAATTGTAACGTTTTTGTTAAAATTATCTTATCAAATGATAATTTTTTAAATCGTAAATCTCCAAGACAGTGTTATATTAGAAAATATCTTTTATATGCAGTTATTATTTATATTTCCTGCAATGAGGTGTCAACCTGTCTGAAATAAAAAAAAATTATTTATTTAAATGTCATTAAATGTACTTTTTTGTTGTAGTACTAAATAGAGAAGATCCAGATTGGTATTGGATCGTAAGAAGTGATGGACAAGAAGGTTTTATTCCTTCTGGTTTCGTTTATCCTGCTGATAATGTGATACAAGGTATGTTACTATTACAACAATGTTGAAAAGTATATTTGTACTGTGAAATAACCAAAAAATTGCATAACAGAGGTAGTTAGACAGTCACACATTTTGTTTACAGTGAAAAAGTAAAATAAGAAATATCATTTTGTGGAAGTTGTTGAAGTTTTAATCCGAAATTTTAAAATTTGCCCCAATTGGCTTGTTAGATTATTTTCATTTGTTAGATTTTTTCATTATGGATAAAAAATGATATATTTTTGTTAAGTTCCTTCATTGATTATAAACCACCTAGATACCTCACTCTAAGGTAAAAACGAATTCAGTGTTAAACTCCGCCCACTTACACCCTTTGCCCTCATGTCTAAGTACTACCTGACTGTATGGTGGCGACATTCATTGAAATCTTTGCTAAGATTGAAAAATAAATTTGAGTTCCCTGCTCCGGCAATTCTCTAGTGCAATGAGGACGATATAAGGATGACATTCAGCATTTTAACAAATAATTTTAACGTGCTTGTAATCTATATTATGAAATTCCGATTTTACTTCAGAAAAAACGCTAAAAATTGATTAATGAAAACAGTAAAGGTTTTCGAAAAATTATTTATTTATCAACACGATACAAAAAATAACAAAACATAAATGCATAATAAAATTAGCAGTGATAAATTGCATCTCATGTATATTACTTTTTTGTAACTTTTCAAACAAATTGATTTACAGAATTGATGGAAACTAAAATATTTCAAGCTAATATACGGAATTTATTTCCAGATTTAGTCCATTCACTCACGGTAAAATATTGCAAAAGCTCCTAATTTTAAAGAAATGCTTGGATTGACATGAAATTTAAAGTGTTTAAAAAAGGTATATTTTTGTTTCTTGCATCAAGAGTAAGCAAGTTATGACCAAAATAGTCAGAAAAGCAAAACCTAAATTTTTTACTCTTTGGGATTATTGGTGTCACTAATAAATTTTAGGTTATTTTGAAAAAAAGTATTTTTTTCAAACTTAAAAAAAAATGTTCAAAAATAAGCCCTTTGAACAAATGAAACTTACAGATTATTATAACAATACAATAAAAACAATGACCAAGTTATTTATTAGAGAAATTAGGACACGCATTGAAATTGCAAGACAAGCATTTATAAAATTGAAAAAAAAAATGTTTGTTTTTATTAATGTTCAACGCCCAAATTGGGTGCCGTTAATTAAATAAAAATGTGTTGCTTAGTAAAAAAATTCTTCTAATAATTTATTTAATGTGACCAATTTATATTGCCAATTGAGTCATATATTATATATTTTAAAGTAGAAGACTTTAAAATGATATTGCCAATATTTATGAGTTGCGTTCCTTGGACTATATTTATATCCTAGCGCGAGAATTTTGTTGTCACCGTTGTATGTGGTTGTCTTTTTAAAGACATATTACATGTTATGATTTTTTTGTGACGGATATTCTTGAGTTGGGGTTGATTTCATGCAATCGAATTAACTATCTTTCAATAAAGTCGTCCCAGGAACGCAACTTATAAATATTGGCAATATCATTGCCAATATTTCATTATCTACTTTAAAATGTATAATATATGTCTGAATTGCCGATATAAATGAGTTAGATTAAATGAATTATTAGAAGATTTTTTTTACTAAGCAACATCATGTTTGTCTAATTCATTAATAATTTTTGTATTTTGACAACGACACCCGATTTGGGCGTCGAAACATTAATAAAATCATTTTTTAGTAAAATTGTGGCTTATTTTCCATCAAAACTAGTTAATTGCAATAATGCCACAAGAAAATAGCTTCAGAACAAAATCGAGATATTCCTCTGGAGCTGAGGATAAGCGCCTTAAGATTGTACGTGTTCTCGACTTTGATACATGGAATGGAAAGCTATACACTAAAAGTAGACAATATAAAGAAGTTGGAAGCATTGAGATGTGGTGCTATAGAAGAATTTTGAAAATACCTAGATCTAACGAGTTACAAATGTAGAAGTGTTAAGGTAACAATGTTACAAAATGATTGCGAGGTGATATGACATGCAACCAAGTTTTAATTGTTTTTTACTGAAGGTAATATAAAGTTAAGAGATCTAATTAAAAAATTGTAACAACTAGGAGACTTATAATAAATGGCCAGAGCTAAATCCTTTCATTGTAACTATATTGAGAAAGAGTTTTGCGTAAAAACTGCATATTAACAAAAGTGTGCACGTATTTGCTTTTATTTTCTAACAGTACCTGTGACATGAATTTGGTTGCCGATTTTCTGTTTTTTGTTGTTCTTTTACAACGTTGACTGTTTTTCTGACGGCACTTCTTCTTTAAAGCATTTACTTGATACTCCATTTTTTTACCTTCTCATTCAGTTGTAAGTTTTGTGGGCAAATTAATTTCAAAACTGGAAATATCACTGAGACTACTACTTGATCTCTTAGGCGATGGAGTTGACCTAACCATACAATCGCCACTTGTAAATCTTTTACGTTTCGTACCGCAATAAACGTATGTAGAGCATACTGGTAGGGTATCACCTAAAATAGTTATTCATTGAAATGTATGTGTAATTTTAATTAAAGCAAAACAAGCATCTCCATTATTTCTGGAGTGATACTAACAACGCATTCATATTTTAAAAAAAATCTCTTTTGATTTAATTGTATATATAAATCATTCAATATCAACTGATCTTATATAACATATATTTTAATAGTATTATTCTCATTGACAAAGCGCATTACGCAAACATAAAAATATTTCTAAAGTTGAGTACTCAACTAAATCAGTTGCTAACTTCGTAAATTAAGAGGAAGAGCATTTTTCCTAAATAACTTTATTTGGCCACTTTGGTAAATATGATTTCCACTGCAAAATGATGCTGGCAAATTACCCTCTGTTTTAGGTCACTGATATCCATCAATATAATATCAATATTCCCGCAGTTTTTTGCCAAATTTTCGTGCGCTCTACGTCTTTCAGGTGAAATTTAAAGAAAGATAGATTATTATTTGTCCATCGTTTCTTTCAAAACATCCCGCGTAAACACATTTATGCATTAAAGAGGCCATTTTTATCTAAAATGTGAGTCCTTTTTTATAAAATTTCGCTATAACTTGTCACAACACTTGACACAGATAATACACTTATAGGTAAGTTCGGCCCTGACACCAGTCCTATCTCCTCGCAAGTCAGAGAGAGAATGAGAATCTCGATACGGTTTTCGAGTAACGCCATCTAGTTTTTGATACGTCTTTCGGTTACCACGAGGTGAGCTATCTAGGTGGTGGTTTATAATCAATGGTTCCTTGTAGTCAGCTGGTTCTTCTCGTTATTTCTGGAAGAATATTGTCGATTTTCAACATAATATACTGAAATACTACATGAGCTAGTTATAAAGAAAATAAAATACCTAGTATAAAACATATGTAAACCATGTTTTTTACTGTTGTAATATATATATATATATATATATATATATATATATATATATATATACATAAGCGCCACGCGACTAGACACATGGGTACCTAATTGCTTGGCTTATTTGATCCACTGGGCTAATCCGGCCCGCTCTCACATGTGACTTCAGCCGTCGGTTGTCGATCACAGATAGCGGCGTATGGCATTTCATTTATGACTGATTTCTGCGGAGAATCAGGTGGGTAGCGAAACTATTCAGAATTGTTGAAACTATTGTTTTTCCATTGAAAAAAATATATTTTTAATTATGGAATATTCAACTGAGGAAAAAGTTCAAATTGTCAAATGGTATTACCAAGGTAATACGCTTCGACAAATACAGGAATTATTTGCCGGTGCATTTGAAAACCGTCCAACTCCTGCATTAAAAACGGTATCGCGTGTAGTCAATAATTTTGAAAGTCAGGGATGCGTCAACCCTCGTAGTCACAAGCGTAATCCTGTTTTTGATGAAAATCAGGAACAGAAACAAGTGATGATTTGTGCGTGTGTCAAAGAAAATCCTACAATGTCTTGCAATGAAGTTGCTGAGGTAGTAGGCACAAGTGCTACTACAGTTAGAAGAGTTTTGAAGAAAAATCGTTATCGATCATATAAAATCAAAAAAAGTCATGAAATATTTCCTGAGGACAATATTCGACGCATGGAGTTTTGTGAAACGGTAATGGAAAAGGCTAACCATGACGATAATTTTCTCAACAATATTGTTTTTACGGATGAATCGACATTTCCAGTACTAAATCGTCATAATTCATCCCGCGTACGTTATTGGTCTCGGGAAAATCTACATCGTTTTTTCGAAGTGCGTACACAGTATCCCCGAAAGTTAAACGTATGGGGTGGAATTTTGGGAGATAATATGATTGGACCATTCTTTATAGACGGAAACCTAACTGGAGCAAAGTATTTGGACCTACTACAGCAGCAAATTGTTCCGGAAATTCATAGAATCGCTGGCGACAGATTTGATGACATCTGGTTCCAACATGACGGGTGCCCTGCACATAACAATGCTTTGGTGCGGCAATATTTAGATATTACCTTCCCAAATCGTCTAATATGCGGAAGACAAGGAACTATCTTGTGGCCAGCGAGATCACCGGAACTGTCACCCAATGATTTTTTCTTATGGGGACATGTCAAATCATCTATTTATGGTCATGACAGAGCTAGTAATTTGGAAGAACTTAAATTAAAAATTGAACGTGCGTTCCAAAATATTAGCCCTAACATGCTTGCTAATGTACGGTCAAGTTTTTATGACCGTTTGGGTTACTGCCTTGCCCAGGAGGGTGGACTTTTTGAGCATGTTTTGTAAATATTTTGTTTGTATTATTTATTTATATTTATGTATTATTTTATATTTCTTGAATTATATTTTTAGTTTGGAAGAATTTCGTTGTTTTTGTTTCAAAAAATAAACTTTTCATAATTTTTTTGATTAATTACTTGCAATTTGGTATAAAATAAATCACCTCGAAAACATGTTTTTTTTATTAAAATAGTATAATGTACACCTTTTTTACAATACAAACTTTTGAAGTATCATT